GGGGGGGGGGGGGGGGGGGGGGGGACACAGACGGACGGATGACAAATCAAACCCAAAACAACAGCAACAAAAAAGTGGTAGAATCAACGCCATGGGCCCCTGGGGGACATCCTGAAGTCTACACTATGTCTGTCCTCCAGGCCTGCACACACCCATCTATACATACCTTAAAGACAGGTACCACATCTGTATGGGAGTTTAGCAAGATGGAGGGCAGTGTAGGGTTGGTGCCCAGCCAGGTCAGAACAGTGATCACAAAGCCAGGTGCCACCTGCAGAGAGTGAGGACAGGAGCCAGTCAGCACCAGGTGACAAGGTGTCCCCAAGCCCTCGTCCCCACCCTGCTCAGGGACCCAGGCTCACCTCTACTTTCTGACAGCTCAGGCCCAGCTGGTGGGCTCTCTCCTCAAGGAAGGCAATGGCAGCCCCTGGGGAAACAGAGAACCTTGACATTGCTTTTGCTGGTACCCAGCAGCCCAGGGCAGCCCAGAGATGTACAGCTGCCTTCCCAACACAATTCTAAATCCCCAAAGACACCTGTGCCTGTGTCCCCAAGAAACAATATTCGTGGCCCATAAGTGACCCTCTGTGAAGATCGAGTGCTATCTTTCTTAAAGATAAAGACGTCAGAGATAAAGAGACTCACCCAAAGTCTCTCAGCTCGTAAATCTTACAACAGCATTTGGACTCATGCACAAGATTCCCAATCACCAAGCCGGACTCCCTAAGGGCTGTGGCCTTTGAATGACTTTGGTAGATTGGGAATTAGGTGTCTCTCTGTGGTCGCCCCACTCCACTCTGGCCCTTGAAGAGCGAGATGAAGCCACTCCTTAACTAGCTGCCAGGAGTAACCATGCGAAGCTGCACAGCGCAGGGAGAGGGTGGTGCGCAGTCGGTCCGGTTGCCCTGGTCAGCAGACACAGAGGATGGCTACAGGAGAGGAGGCAGCAGAAACAGCAGAGTGGGGGTTCCCTGGGGTGACAGGTGTCGGAGATAGTGTACAGCACACCCCCAGGCCTTGCACACTCCTTGAGGCCCTATCACAGGCCGTAAGCCCTGCGTTCTCACCGTAGTCAGGATTGGGCTGCACAGTTCGGATGCGCAGGTACTGGCGGAAAAGCGTCACCGAGGGGTGCTCAGACTCAGGGCCCTTGGTGGTCATGGCGCCGCGTGCTGGCTTGGGCAAAGTCAGTAGTTAATTATTACTCCCCTCTCTTGCTCCCAGCAGCTGGGGCCCGGTGGGCTGCACCCGCACCTTTCCAACGCTGCTCCCACGGCGAGAGGAACACCTTGGTTTGACTCTCCCACTCTGGGCTGTGCTAGTTACTTTCTAAACATTTCCTCATTTAATCCCCAGGAGAGTGCCAAGGAAGTAAGTTTGTGCCCACTTGACAAAAGAGAAAGCTGAGGTTCAGTGAGGTTCAGAGCCAGCTAAGGAAGTAGGAGAACTTGGTTTGAAAGAGACATTGACTCCCTACACCCTCCTCAAAATATTTCTCCCCAAAGCCGGGCTTTCATGCCACGGAGCCCCATACCCCTCAACGGCTCCCTAAGGTGTCCCAACCTTGCTCTCTCCAGGTTTCCGTCCTGCACTCTCCTCTCTCAGGGACCTCTCGGAACTGTGGCCAGGACTCAGGGTCCACCGAGGTCGCAATCTCAAAACCGCCCAGGTACGCCCACCACGTGGCCAGGGAGGGGTGGAGGGGCGGAGACCGGAGCCTGCAAGGGCCGTCCCAGTTTCCGTGGCGTGGCGGAGTCGTCGCCGTTGTCCCTGCCTGACTCAACGTGGGGCCTGCGCCGGGTAACTGGAAGCTTGGATCCGGGATCCACCCCCTGGGTCCGCCTCACTGCGGCCAGCTCCGCCCTCCCCATGCCCCGCCCCGGAGCCTGGACCGCAAGCTCAGGCTGGCCCCGCCCCCAGAAGACCCTCCTCCCCCTGCAGCCTCCGGATAGGGCGAGAGAAGAGGGCGGGGCCTGGCGCTAAAAGTCGCCGCCGCGGCGTTGGGAACGCGTCTGCTCTCTAGGTGTCGGGCTGCAAAGTGCATCTTATCCCCTCTGTCCTTTCTGCCCTTTTCTTGCCTCCACTCCTCAGGGAGGCTCTCCCAGATTGCCTCATCCCTTGTGTAGTGAGGTTTTTGGGTTGGTTTTGATTTTTTTTTTTAGCGTCTGCTCTCCCCACCCTGTGAGTTCCAGGATACCGATGTGCCCAGAGAATTCTAACCGTGGCCAGGCAAAGTGGGAGTCTGGGCAGGGTGACATAAATGAAAAGTAAATGCCCGAACGGGAGGACGTGCGGCTGTGAACGTGTTACGGTGTGGCCAAATCCGTGTCACGGTGGATATAACCGTATGTGTGACACGATGAGTCTGAGATGGTGGAGATGCCGAGCGTCACGTGCAATCCTAGGCATCAGGTACAATCATGACACCCGCCAGTATGGGAGATTGGGAAAGTGCACCTTGGCTGACCCTACATCGAACCCTAAGCTCTTCCGCCCCCAGCGGAGAGAGAAACAGAGGCATGGCTGTTCCTCTGGCCACCAGCAAGCTGTTTGTAACTGTAGCTGCCCACTTTGCACCTAGCTGCTCTTTGTACTCCCAGCAAGTTCTGCCCTCTGCTCCAGAGGCTGAGCCAGCTTGGGGAGGGGGAAGGGGCAGAAGACTTCAACCTTGGGACCAAGGGAGCAGGCAGGGAGGATCAAAGAGGGGGCCATCCCACCTTCTTGGGGTTGAAGTCTCTGCCTGTTCACCCATAACAAGGAAGCAATCAGGTCTGGTGGTTCAACAACACTGTTTTAGTTCTTAAATCACACACCATTTCCACTTTGACGGACTCACGCAGGTATTTCACCTACCCACATTCAACCCCACAATCATTCCCCCTGCTACGGTCACCATGCCCATTTCACAGAGGAGGAAACTGAGGCACAGAGAATGAGGAAGTAGTGCACTCACTTAAGACTCCCAGGAGCACCGCTTCCAGCCTCCCCATCCATCCCAGAGCAGTCTGAGACTCGCCTCCCACTCCCAGCTTCCCCCACACAAGTCAGGAAACACAATGTCACTCTCCAGGCGGGACAAAAGGGCTTTTCTTTATTGTGCCTGTGAAATGAAATCAAAAGTCCTGGCTGGGCTTGATGCTCTGTCCCCAGTCCCACTCAGGGCTGGCCTCCCTGGAAGAGGAGAGAGAGCATCTAGATCCTTCGAGGTCAGTTCTGGGAAGTGAGTCCATTCAAGGCAAATGGTCAAGGAATGCAAGAAGAGCGAGGTGGAAAGCTTGCGGATTGTGGAGGTAGCAGGCATGGCCCGCGTTGTGTAGCTTCACCACAGAGTGGTTGGGCAGGTGGTGGAGCTGCCGGAGTGATTCTCGCGCCAAGGTGTGGTCCAGTTCCCCATACAGGATAAGAGTTGGGGTCTGCAGAGCAAGGCCAGAAGTTGTTGATCCTGGGGGCTTGGTGAGGATCCAACCCACAAGCTATTCTTTTGGGGAGCCTTGCCCCTTGCCCCCACACTCTACCCTTTCCATGCAACTTCAGGGGCCAACCCTCTAAGACCACCCCCATGTGGTACAAGCCAGGGACAGGGACAGGGGGCCAGGATCTTTGCAGACCATTGTCTAAGTACCTTCACAGCCCAGAACTGTTCCTGTGTGTAATTCCGTGTGGAGGTGGGTGCAATGGGCACAAATCCACGGAGCTGGTGGTGGGTTCGCATCAAGAAGGGCAGGGCATAGCTGCCACTCAGGGACGGGCTCACCAATACAGCATTCTGCACCTCTAGGTCCCGCAGCACCTGCTTCAGCAGCTCCGCTCGCCCTGACTCTGTGCTGGCTTCCTTTGAAGGTGCTGAGTTCCCAAAACCTGGGAACAGCAGCAGGCACTCCCTGAGAGGAGCTAGGCCAGTGGTTCTCGACCTGCCTAATGCTTTGGCCCTTTAATACAGTTCCTCATGTTGTGGAAAAATTATTTTTGTTGCTACTTCATTACTGTAATTTTGCTAATGTCATGGATCACAGTGTAAGCATCTGATATGCAGGGCATCTGATATGTGACCCCTGTGAAAGGGTCATCCAACCCCCAAAGGGATCCTGACCCACAGGGTGAGAACTGCTAAGCCAGGAACTACTCAGGACTTCCTGCCCATCACAGTGGAGGAAAGAGATGAGGGTCAGTGGCACATAGCAATTGCAGCCCAGCCATTCTCAGAAGCAAGTTTTCATACTATAACAGGCCCATAAGAAACGCAGGTGAGACCGCTCGGTGGATAAAAGCACCTGCTGCACAAACCTGGACAACTTGCACCTGATCTCTGGAACCCACGTGATGAAAGGAGGAAACTAACTGACTCCCATAAAATGTCCTCTGACCTCCACATGTGCACTTTATCATGGGCACATATGCACACACATGTATACACACAGTATCAACCAACTAGCTAATAATGCTTTTTCAGAAGGAGAAATATCTTTCAGTCATTCTATTGGCTAAACTTTTAAGCTGATAACAACCAGTGTTAGGAAGCTCTAAGGAAAGGACACATACCTGACTGAGGGAAGGATAATCTATACAGCCTTTCTGGAAGGCAACATAGTATTTGTCCAAAAGCTTAAAAGTGTATCCTGACTCATCAATTGTCCTTGATAGTTACCCTAGAGAAACTATTGCCCCTAAATGTTTCTTTCGTTTGTTTGTTTTTTGAGACAGGGTTTCTCTGTGTAACCCTGGATATCCTGGAACTTACTCTGTAGAACTCAGAGATTCACCTGCCCCTGCCTCCTGAGTGCTGGAGGCATGCGCCACCATGCCAAGCTCTCCTATACTTAAAGAAACATGTCCAAAGAAGCTTGGGTTAGATATTTGGGTATTTCAGGTGACCCTGAAAATGTTAAATCCACCAGCTGAGGAATGAACAAAGCCTGCCCACGCCTCCCATGGCCCACACAGCAGCCTGCCCACGCCTCCCATGGCCCACACAGCA